TCTTTGTTTCCTTTTGGTATTAGAGAGATATGGGCTTCATAGAAACTGTTTGGGAGAGTTTCTGTTTTTTCAATTTCCTGGAAAAGCTTGAGAAGAACTGGCAATAGGTCCTCTTTAAATGTTTGGAAAAATTTACTAGTAAATCCATCTGGGCCTGGGCTTTTGTTTTTGGGAAGACTTTTGATTACAGTTTCTATTTTCTTGATGTGAATAGGTCTATTCAGGTACTCTATATCTTCTTGATTCGGCTTTGGGAGATTATAGGAATCCAGGAATTTATCCATTTCTTCTAGGTTCTCGTGTTTTGTGGCATACAGACTTTCAAAGTAGTCTCTGATGATCTCTTGAATTTCTTTAGTTTCTGTTGTGATATCCCCATTCTTATTTCTGATTCGATTTATTAGGGCTCTCTCTCTGTTTCTTTGTGAGTGTTGCTAGTGGTTTATCTATCTTATTTATTTTCTCAAAGAACCAGCTCTTAGTTTCATTGATCTTTCGGATTGTTTCTTTGTTTTCCATGTCGTTGATTTCTGCTCTAAGTTTTATGATCGCTTTCCTTCTGCCTGATTTAGGCTCTTTCTGTTGATCCTTTTCTAAGGTCTTGAGCTGTGAGGTCAAGTTGTTTATGTGCATCGTTTCTACTGACCTAAGATATGCTTGCAGAGCTATAAATTTTCCCCTTAATACAGCTTTCGCTGCATCCCATAAGTTCTGGCAGTTTGTGTCTTCATTCTCATTTGTTTCCAGGTATCTTTTGATTTCATCCTTGACTTTGTTCCTGACCCACTCATTGTTCAGCATCGAGTTGTTTAATTTCCAGGTGTTTGATTTGGTTCTCCGTGTCTGTGTGTGATTCACTTCTATCCTCAGTGCATCATGGTCTGAAAAGATGGCTGATAATATTTCTATCTTTCTGATTCTGTTGAGGTATGTTTTGTGTCCTAGCACATGGTCTATTTTGGAAAATGTTCCGTGCGCACTGGAGAAGAATGTGTATTCTTTCTTTTTGGGGTGTAAAGCCCTGTATAGGTCCATAAGCCCTTTCTCTTCTATTTCTTCTTTCAAAGTCAATAATTCCTTGCTGGGTTTTGTTCTTGTTGATCTATCCAGAGGTGATAAGGTGATGTTGAAGTCTTCAAGTATTATTGTGTTGGTAGTGATGTCCTCCTTAAAATCTGTTAGCAGTTGTTTTAAATATTTAGCTGTTCCCTCATTAGGTGCATATACATTTAAGAGTGTGATTTCTTCCTGTTGTACGTATCCCTTGATGAATAGAAAATGGCCTTCACTGTCCCTTCTAGTCTTTTTTCAAGGTGAAATTAATGTTGTCGGATACTGGTATGGCCACCCCAGCTTTTATGCAGGAGCTGTTTGCTTGCAGGATTGTTTTCCATCCTTTGACTTTGAGTCTGTGTTTGCTCTGGCTGTTGAGATGAGTTTCTTGTATGCAGCAGAATGTTGGGTTCTGTCTCTGTATCCATTTTGCCACTCTGTGTCTCTTAAATGGTGAATTTAGACCGTTGACATTGAGAGAGAGTATGATTATGGGGTTTTGTGTCATCTTTCTGTGCGGGTGTGTTGTGGTTGTAGGGTTTGTCTTGTCTTATTGTAGCCACTTTAGCCCTTGCTTTAGGTTTGGTTTTGAGTCTATGAAGTTCCTGAGCTGCTGTTTATCTAGAAAATAGTGTAGCTTTCCATCTATTTGGAGTGAGAGTTTAGCTGGATAGAGTATTCTTGGTGAAGCATTCATTTCCGTGAGTTTTTTGACTATATCTCGCCACTGCCTTCGGGCTTGTAGGGTTTCCTCTGATAGGTCTGCTGTGAATCTCAGGGGTGCTCCTTTGTATGTGATTTCCTTCTTTGCCCTTGCTGCTTGCAGTATTGTGTCTCTATCAGCAGCATCGATCATTCTAACTATGATATGTCTTGGAGTGTTTTTGTTAGGGTCTCTTTTAGCTGGCACCCTTCGGGCTCCTTGAACCTGAATGGCTGCATTGTGGAGCTTTGGGAAGTTTTCAGCAATGATTTGTTTGACGGTGGTTTTTTCATTGGGATTGTTTCCCTGAGGTTCAGGTAGTCCCATAATTCTGATGTTGTTCCTCTTGGAATCATCTGCTAGGACTCTGATTCTCTGTAGAGCTATTTTGAGGTCCCTTGCCACTGTTTGTTGTTGCATGTTGGCTTGGTGCAGCTGATCTTCCAGCTCACTGATTCTCTCTTCAGCTGTGGTCATTCTATTGTTAAGAGAAGAGACTGAGTTTCTGATTTCATCTGCGGAATCTTTTAATCGTGACATTTCTGCTCTCATTTCTTCACGTAATTTGTCAATTTTTTCTGTGGTGTTACTGGCTATCTGTCTGACTGTTTCATTGAGTTGATTGATCATCTTCATGACTTTCCATCTGAATTCTATGTCAGAGAGGTCCCTTAGGTGAGCCGTATCGACAGACTCTTCTCGATTGTTTTCGTTGTCCTCCCCTTGTGGTGGGTATTTTCTTTGTTTCTTCATATTTCTGAGTAGGTTGGGGACTAGATTCCTTGGGGACTAGGTTCCTTAGTATGGGTAAACAACCTGGAAAATAAGCCACGCCCACTTTTGAAGCCATGCCCACTTGTGAAGAGGCCACGCCTCTATGGAAACCTGGGTTTGGGATGAGATGGGCGCTGCGTGAGGAGTGAAGAGGGCAGGGCAGACGCTCAAAACTGCTTCTCTCCAGGCGGCTCGGGAGACACCTGGGGTCTTGCAGGGAGAGATGGAGGTCCCAGGGTCATGAGCCGGTTGCTGAACTGACCTTGGTTTGGGATGAGATGAGTGCCGTGTGAAGAGTCAGCTAAGTACTTCTTAAGAATTTCTTTTTCTGTCTTAAAATTAAAGAGTCTCTCTTGGCTCAAACCATGCCCGTGCAGCCCAGTTAACTATTTTGACTTGTCACGTGCTAGCCTGAAAGCCTGATAGTTAGCAAATTAGTGGGCCAGGATTTCTGACAACCCCCGACCCCCACCCCCAACACACACACACTCCTTAAATACAAGTCATTTAGGAGACTAAATGTTCATTCTGATTTCAGGAATTCTTTTTTGGTTGTTTTACATGCAGCAACATTTGACCAATGGCACAGTCAAATAAAACACTGTTGAAAGTTAATTGGAGTCTAAATCAAAACCGTGTCAAATAAGACTTGGCAGGGTGAAGCAGTCAGCGTCTTGCAAGAATGGGTTGTGTTTAAACACTGTTTGATGTAAATGTGATGTGGTTTTGAAAATAACAAAGGAGAGGCGTTTAGGGAAATAGAGCGAAATCCGGGAGATGCCCACACAAGCTAAATTGCTTTGTGTAAACATGAGCGCCATCTCTGTGCCAGGCCAGTGAATGCAGAGAACTCCAGCTACTGTTTCTGACATTCTTTTCAAGGACACCCACTGGACATGCAGGTAAGCCAGCGATTTCAGATCATAGTCTACAGGGAAACCTAAGTGTTGACACAGTTCATTGATAATGGCTTCCAATTTGGGTTGATTTTTAGTGAGGTAATGGGATAGTTTCAGATCTTTTCTAGAACTCAGGAGTAAACGAATGTTAGTGGCCAGCAGTCAGCATTGTCTAGGAGTCCACCCAAGACCTTTGCAAGGTGACTCGTGTCTAGGGCGTGGTCCCTCAGGGTTGTCACCGACAGGCTCAGGGTCTTGTTGCCTGCTGTGTTCTGTGTGGACACATCTGTCCCAGCCTGGCCCCTGCTGCCGTGGGTCACTGACCTTCCTCTAACAACTTCTGCGGCATCATGATAATACAGAAAGTCCTGGCATTCTTGCCAGTGAGAAGCCAGTTTGCCACAGCTAGCTTCTTGGGGACAGGGGCCTCACCTTGGGGGCCCAGGGACTCTTAGCACATGGCACTGAAAGTGTCAACACAAGGACATAGAAGAACAGAACCAAGCAACGCTGCTGCTGACTTAGTGCTGGGCAAATCAGTCACGTGAGGACTTTATCCCTAAGTGAAACCTGGGGGCTGGTCTTAGAAAATGACCCCAACACCCCACCAGGCAGGCAAAGTGGACACGAGGGGCTGCAGGACTACTGTCTGGGACCTGAGGGCTGTGAGAGGTGTCTCAGCTGCCTTTGTCCTGGCGGTCACCAGAGCCCTGTGAGAACTGTGACCCCTGGCTATGAGGTGGGCGACACCAAGGCAGGAATGCAGCGGGGTGCTTTCGACATTCACTGTGAGTAGGTGACTCCTGACACTTGGTTTTGTGTGGTCTCCTTGGTGCTCTAAAGGCGGGAGGTGTCAGTGCTTCCTGGGGATACCACACCCAACTTCCAAGTTCTGTTTTGTTTTTTTACCAAGGTTGCTCATCTTTTTGGTTAAGAACGGTCTGTTTTGGGGTAAGAAATTGTCAGTGCTTTCCATGTAGTACTACTTGTATGTAAATTTCATGACTTCATCATTTCTAACAGCTACATAGTACTCCATTGTGTATATGTACCAAAGTTTCTTTAACCAGTCATCTGTTCTCGGGCACTCAGGTGTTTTCCAGATTCTAGCTACTGTAAACAGTGCTGCAATGAACAAACAAGTGCAGGATGGGAGATGCGTGCTGAGAGTAGACTATAGACCAAAAATGATTGCCACTCAATGCCTCTTTTGCAAACCACATCACCCAAAAGAAGAAAGAGAACAAAAAGGGAATGCCCTGCCACAGAGGCTGAGTGGGATGTGGGGGATGGGGGTGGGAGGGATACTGGGATCAGTGGTGGTGGAAAATGGGTACTGGTGGAGGGATGAGTATTCGGTCATTGTGTAACTGAGACCCAAGCACAAAAATTTGTAAGTCTACAACTGTACCTCATGGTGTTTCACTAATAAAAAATAAAAAAAAAGAAAAAAGAAACTCTCAGTGCTTCCCGGACCATAGTGAACTATGGGCACTGGTTCCTCTGGGGGTTCTCTTGGGGCTCCGGGCCCCACCCGGGTCCTCCCCTCATTCCTTCTTTTCTCCTTCCAGGGCCTGGATTTTGCAGGATTCACAGCGCACATGTTTGTGGGCATTTGCTTCGTGCTCTTGTTCTCCTTCCCACTCCTCAGACTTCTCTATCGGAACAAAATGTTCTATAACAAGGAGCCCAGTGACATAGTCGGTGAGTGTATGCACCCCCCGTTAGGCATCCAGTCTTCACATCAGAGTATTCTTTCCCAAGGGCAGTTGTGATGAAAAGGTGGCAGTTTATCACACATTGGGGAGGTCTGGGCTGCCGAAAGCTTGCTCACTGAGGATGTCAGGGTAGTTTAAACTTTAAGGATACACCCTACACTTTACACGGCCTCTAAATCATGTGCATACAGTGTGCATTGCTCTGCGCAGACTGCTGTGTTTTCACGCATCGGGATCTGAGATTAACGTGAGTGCAAAGGTGGCCACGTGACCCAATGCAGGGAATAACACCAATCAGTAGTGAATTGCTGAACCTGTGTGCAGTCGGCACGGCCCTTTATGGCTTTGCACTTTCCTCAGTAGATTGTTTTTTGTTAGGGCTTCTCAGGCGGTGCTGAGGAGGTCAAGTCCCCCCACTAGGGACACTTAGCCAAGGGGTTTGTCAAATCAGCACAAGGGCTGAGGATGTGGTGCCGCTCCATCCTTGCAGTGCCCGGCACCCCAGGGCCAGTCTGGTGGTGCTGGGGCCTCCTGGAGAGCACCTATCAGTGCCAGGAACAGCACCTGGGTCACCACTCTGCTGTCTCCCACTTGGTAGGTTTTTCCAGTGTTAGTGGAGCTGGGTGGAGGTGTTAGACATGTCAGTGTGTGTTGGAGCTGGGTTGGGTAGCAGTGCCCTGAGCTCAGCAGGGTGGGAAGGGAGAAGCTGGGGAGGCAGCTGGGGCGGCAGTGACACGCCCATCCCCTCCACTGCAACTGGGATGTCGGTCTTCATGGGCTCCCTTCCGTGTTGTGTGTCTATCTCTTGTATCCTCGCTTATTCCTTGTTAAAGCCGAAGGCATCTGGCGGGGAGTCTGACCAGCAGACAGCTTTGCAGGGATTGTCTTCACCCAGAGGGCAGCAGGGCGGGGGCCAGGCTCAGGCCACACCCTTGTTATGGACTGTTGGACACAGGACAGGCCTGAAACCTCCACTGTCTCTCTCTTCTCTTCTCTTCTCTTCTCTTCTCTTCTCTTCTCTTCTCTTCTCTTCTCTTCTCTTCTCTTCTCTTCTCTTCTCTTCTGTTTTTGAGCCACACCTGGCAGTGCTCACAGCTTACTTGACTCTGTGCTCTGGGATCACTCCTGGTGGGGCTTGGCAGACCCTAGTTGGTGCCAGGGATCAAGCCTGGGATGGCCATGTGTAAGGCAAATAACCTACTACTGTACTATTTTCCTTCCTTCCTTCCTTCCTTCCTTCCTTCCTTCCTTCCTTCCTTCCTTCCTCTCTGCCTGCCTCCCTCCCTCCCTCCTTCCCTCTCTCCCTCCCTCCGTCTCCCCCTCTCTCTCTTTCTTTCTTTCTTTCTTTCTTTCTTTCTTTCTTTCTTTCTTTCTCTCTCTCTCTCTCTCTCTCTCTCTTTCTTTCTTTCTTTCTTTCTTTCTTTCTTTCTTTCTTTCTTTCTTTCTTCCACACCTGTCAGTGCTCAGGACTTACTCCTGACTCTGTGCTCAAAGATTACTTCTGACCATGCTCAGGGTACCATATTGGGTACTGGGGATCAAACATGGACTGGCTGCTTGCAGGGCAAGAAGAGTCTTTATGTGCTCTGCTATCTCTCCTGCTCTGTCCCTTCGTTTATTAATAAAAATTAGCAGCTAGATTTCAGGATCGACAGGAGAGTGATGTGTTTATTGTGCATTTCCTCCTGACTTCTCACACTGTCGGCTTTCCCAGTGTTTTGAAGGGAAAGGCTGGCAGAACAAGAGGGCAGGAGCAGGTGACCCAGGTGCTGTTCCTGGCACTGATGGGTGCTCCCCAGGAGGCCCCAGTGTGTGTCTCTGCTATCGAGGACGGGAGAGAATGTCTGAGTGAGTCCCTGCTCTCTTTCCTTCCTGCAGAACCCTTGAAATGGTCACTGCTTCTGCTAAACAATCCCCTCAATACAGAGTGTGAAAGATGACAGTATTTTTTCTAACCAATTTATCAATGCTTGGCAGCCCATCGCTTTCGGACCATGGCTTCTTTGTGTTCTCTGGGTCTTTGGTTTGTCTTTATCTTAATAGGGTAATTGGTTTCCATTTCCATGTGAATCTCTGTGCCCTGAGAGACCTGCTTCTGCCAGATAGAGACTGCATTCGCAGCATTGCCTCCCACCCCGTGTGACTCTTGGATTTTTGGGGATGTGATTATTTTTGTTCTTGTTGGGAACACCTTGTTGTTTGTAACTTCTTGACAGTCACCTATACAGAAACAAGCTTCTTCTTTGGAAAACGTCATCTTACTAGGGAAACGGGATGAGGGGAAATTTGTGTTTCATGTAGTCTTATGACTCCATGCTCAAAGTTTGGAGTGTCCTTGTGGGAACTTGAATGTTTTAGGTCACCCTCACCACACTGAAGGGGGGTACCTGCTTCTGGCACTCACTGGCGTGAACCCCACCAAACAGGGGAGATGGGAAGTGCAGCTCTGGGGCGGCAGAGGAGCAGAAGGCAGCAGGGCTCACGGTGGGGGAACATTCCAGCACGTGGTTATGTATCAGTCCCTCTCACCTGTGAGCGCTTTGGCTCTGAAGGGTGGGGGCTGCCCCTCCTCCTGTGTGCTGGGGTCTGAGGCCCCGCCAGCTCCCACCCGCCATGCGTGCTCTGTCTGTTGCTGAAACTACTCTCTGTTCAAGCAGCGTCTGGCAGAGAGGGTGGCTTGCATGAGTGGCTTGGAGAAGAAACTTCCTGGCTAGGAAAGGGCGTGTGAGTGATGGCTTGAGGAGGAGCTTTGGGAATTCATACTCGCACCCACGACTCAAGTTTGCATTGGTGGCGGCTTAGAAATTCTCGCCCCATCTCCTGGGGGCCTTGCTATCGAGGTCACTGGTGTGTGCTCCTGGTGTGGGGGTGCCCTGGCGTCAGGGGTCCCCGGAGACGCAGTCGGGCTTTCCTTCCTGCAGAACTGAAGCATGAGATCTCTGTGTGGCGCCTGACCGCTCAGCGCATCAGCCCGGCCAGCCGCGAGGAGACGGCCGTGCGGAGTCTGCTTCTGGAGAAAGTGCGAGTGCTGGAGCGCCTGCTGGCACGGAAGCTGCACACCTTCCACAGGTACCCGCAGAGCCCAGTGCCAGCTCCCCCTGTGGGCAGGCAGGGCCTCACTCAGCTCTTGGGGTGCTTGCTGCTGCTCCGCCCCTGTCACAGGGTGGGAAAATGGGGGTGCAGAGATGTTGGGGCATGAGCTCAGGGTCACACAGGGTGGGGAGAAGAGAATCTGCCCTCTTCCCAGCCCCTGTCCCACCTCCACACTTGGGTGCAGAGCAAGAACTGAAACTGAGCACTGGACCATAAGGACATGCTGCTGGTCAGGGAGGCAGGAAACAGAGCACTAACCCCGTGAGTTGGGCCATGATCCGGGGAAGACGCTCCCAGTGGCTGCGTGTGCAGGACGCTTCAGGGATGCCTAAGCCCTGCTCGGGTCCTGCTCAGCTGCTGTGCTGAGCCATTACAGGGAGCTCTCAGGGACATCACAGGTTGCTCTCAGGGACATCGCGCTTCTGTTCTGCGGGAAGGAATCCGTGTCGCGTCAGAGCTGGGGGTGTTAGGCGGCCATCAGGAGGAGCCGAGTTCCCGCTTGCCCTCATTCTGGACAGGGATGTCGGGAGGCACCTGGACCCTACTTGGCTCCCCCACCCCAGGGTGGTGAATCATTGCTCGAGGTTCTGAGTTGTGAACTGAGGCCAGCGGGACAAGTGCCAAGCCAGCGGGACAAGTGCCAATAAGAAGCCACAGATCTTCAAAGATTGAAAACTTGCTGTGTGGGGGTTAAGGCGGTGGGAGTGAATGGCCTCGACTGTGATTCGTGGGTTCAGTTTCAGCCAGCGTGGGGATCCCTCGTGTGCTTGGCGGGCCTCAGGGCTGTGCTACACCTGAAGATGCAGTTTTCCCAGTCTCACTCTCTGTCTCCATCATACTCGGGGAAGTGGAGGCCTGGAGAGTTCTGGGTCCTGGGGCCCTAAGGGATATATTAGAAATAGGGCAAATGAAGGCAAGTACTAGCCCATAAGAGCTTGCTCCCATATTTCTTATTTTTTTTTTAAACGGCCTTTGGAGAGGCATGGAGAAAGGCCACCTGCCTTGCATGCCCACGGCCACAGTCTATTCAGAAACTTCATCCCTCAAGGACTCTTCCTCCCCACTCCCCAGCCCCCTCAGCTATAGGCATGCCTAGGATGCAGCATCAGTCCTTCCTTGGGGCCGTGCCCAGGTTCCACCCACTGCTGACTATCCCCCTCTCAGGCCGGGCACCACAGGAATAATCTTGGCTCCTTTTCTCCTTTAGGCAGATCTCACAGGAAGACAAAAACTGGGAGACAAATATCCAGGAGCTACAAAAAAAGGTATTGTGGGTTCTTTGCTTTATTTAATTAAGTTTTCTTTTTTGGCAGTGCTCAGGGTTGACTCCTTGCTCTGTACGCAGGGATCACTCTCAGGGGACCATATGGGATGGTGGGGATCGAACCTGGGTTGGCCACGTGATATGCAAATTCCCTCCCTGCTGTACTATAGCTCTGACCTCCCTGTGGTTCTTCTGACAGGGGTCTCTGACTCATCTCCTTTTTTTCCCTTTTTTAATTGAACCACCATGAGATATAGTTACAAAGTTTTCACGTTCGAGATTCAGACGTACAATGATCGAACACCCATCCTTCCACCAGTGCAAACTCTCCACCACCAATGTCCCCATTACCCTCCCCCCCCATCCCAGTCCTTACCCTGCCTCAGTGGCAGACAATTTCTCAGATACTCTCTCTCTACTTTTGGGCATTGTATTTTGCTCGACTTTCCCCACCAACATCCAAGCCTGCCTCCCAGGGGAGACGCTAGATCATTTATTTTCCCTTGCTCATTTTGCAGATCATGAGAGGTTGCGCAGCTGTGTAAGCTTCTGAAATTCTAGATTGTAAGTGGTTGGGCTCCAGAGACATCTCTGTAGGGAGCTAATCCATTTTGGGATTCGGTTGGGAGTTTCTGGGCCCAGGCTGTTGGTGCGCCAAGATGGCGCCCAGAGGCAGGTTGTGGGCACGAGACTCACTTTCTTTTTGGGGGGACCCACCTGGCATTCAGTCCTCCGGGGCTTATCCCTGGCTCAGGGATCACTCCTGGTGGTGCTTGGAGCCGCGCTTAACCCGGGTTCTGCTGCTCCTCTGGAAAATGCTGCTTTCTTGTCTCTGCTTCATATGGGCCCGTGGTTATCAGTCTGTATAGGGGAGCAGGGCCTGGCTGGGACCGTGTCTGTGCCCAGCCCACAGCGGCCTCTGGGGAGCCTGGTCTGGCTGGGGATGACTCAGGCTGGAGGGTCTTTCTGGCACCTTCTGTAGCCCCCCTGAATGACAGGGCCAGTCTTCTGCCAGTGCCAGGGCAACTGGTGCCCTGACTGACAGGCGTGCCAGGACACAGCAGGGCTTTCAGCAGGACCCCTGTGAAGGCAGGTGTGACCTTTCTTCTTTGCTGCTGTGAGCGGGAGGGAAAGTGGTCTGAAGGCCATGTACTCTAGTCGGTAAAAACGCCTGTGCCTGGAGGGGCCACACCCCCAGGAGCCCCCTGGCTGAGGGTGGGGTGTGGACAGCCTCACACCGAGGGTGGACTGAGAGCCCAGCACTTGTGCAGTTTACAGGGTTCTTCTGCATGTCCAGTGCTCGTGTTTGTTTTTTGTGAAGCTCCTGAATGCTGTCACCCCGCTTTCAGGGACACACGTCACATGTCTGCTTCCTGGCATCATTCATGTTCATGTCCAAGACGTGCTAGGTTCACCCTCAGTGGGGAGTTGTAGCGGCTCCGTGCTCAGGGTGAGACTGTGCGTGATGGAGGGAGTCACGAGCTGTTTCCTTTGTCCCAGCACCGAATATCCGACAGGGTCCTGCTTGCCAAGTGCCTGCTGGTCTTGGGGTTTGTCGTCTGTGTGTTCTTTCTCAACTCATTTGTCCCTGGAGTTCATCTGGATCTGGGTGAGTCTCTCTCTCTCTCTCTCTCTGGAGGAAAAACTTTATTTATTTAATTTTAATTTTTTATAAGATTGTTCACAATAATTTATTACATTTAATATTCCAGCACCAATCCCATCACCACCCATCACCATTATTTAGAATTTTCCCAACTGCCATCCAAGCCTGTCTCAATAGCAGGCCCTAAATAATTTATTTTTATTGCTTATTATGAATAATTCTCTAAAAATGATCAAAAAAGATTTTATTAGAAGAAAGTCTGTGAAGATTGTACCTCACCCTGGAGCCAAAGAGCCCTTTATAAGAGGTTACTAATATGTTGTTACAGGTTGAAAATTGTGTGTTAATATTTTGTCTTAATTGAGATTGGTCGCCTTCAACCTTATATCCTATCCAATGTGGTGTGCTACTCCTGATACATCAGTGATACAGAGTGTGTTATTTTTCTTCAGGAATTCTAAAATTTAAAGTCATATGATACAGCTGGAGTTAAATTTTTAACTGGATAGTGACTTGGGGGTCTGAGGCATCTCTGCAGCTTGTTAATATCTTCTGAGATTTATTTGAGTCTGGATCATGGCCAGGTATGAGCTTATATGGTGCCAGAGACAGTTCAGTTCGTGGGAGTGACTGCCAGGCTCTTGGAAGAACAGGGTATGCGGGGAGGTTGCCCATTCCTGACTCCATGAGACCCTGGAGATTTTGGTCACAGAACCCCTGCATACCTGAGGTTTTCAACCGATTCACTCATGGATGAGGCTTGTCCAAGCCTGTGGAGGTTGGTTGTGAGCATGGCGGCTGGGGTTCTGGAGGTTTTTGGCTGCTGGGGCTCTGTTAGGGTGGGTGGGATCTCTCTCTCTCTCTCTCTCTCTCTCTCTCTCTCTCTCTCTCTTTCTCTCTCTCTCTCTCTCTCTCTCTCTCTCTCTCTTTTAAAATTAGCATTTCCTGAAAGCTTGGCAGCTGTCTTCAGAGTATGGAAGGGGTGATCTCGCAGGTCCTAATGAGGTGCCAGTAAGTTGGCCTTTGTGGAAATAAGGAAACTTTCTGCTTTGTCACCAGCCCTTCAGTCTGGAAGAGTGGGGGAGGAGGAGAGAGGCAGAGACAGAATGACAGAGACAAAGGCGGAGAAAGAAGTGAGAGAAAGAGAAGAGAGGGGTGAAAAGGAGAAAGGGAGAGGAAAAGAAAGGGAGAGAAGAGAGAGAAGAGAAATAAAGAAGAGAAAGGAGAGGGAGGAGGAGAGAGGAGAGATGGCACATTAGATGCATTCCTCTCCCTGCCTTTCTGTCATAGCTCATCAATTTTATTCCTTAAATAGCCTCCAATTCCCCTTTCCCCTGCTTGGCTCTGAACTGAAAGGTATTCTTTGAGCTGATCCACAGAGACTCCTGATGTGATGGTGAGGAATTCCAGCGTTACAGGACTAAGATGACACGAATCCTAATTGCGTTTGGTAGATTACATTGGGAAATTATTGTTGCCGTCAGTGCAATTATTTTTAATTGCGCTCCAGATAGAATGCAATTTTACATCATAAACTTTTAATCATGACAAGAATGTTAGGTGGTCACCTCCGGTAAATGAACAAATACATTAAGTCTAGTGTTTTAGGGGTTTCCATCCGAGAACTCAAAGGGGTGTTCACAGATTGTAATTTTATTAAGATTCCACCTGGAAATACAAGAATGTATTAAAAAACAAACTAAAATGAATGTGTGGATCCAGATGCAATTTTGTTGGATTTGGCAATAGTGTTTGTATTCATGATACTTTCAAGATTTAAGGCCCACCGTTCACTGTAAGGGCATTCAAAAATTCTGATTACCATAAAGTGTTTTATTTTCATCTGGGAAATCTTTGCTTTTCATTGAGCTGAATCTATATTTGTGTGATTGTGGCATCACGGATGGAATGGATTCATTCTTTCCTGCTTTGAAATGCTGTGTTTTAGTTAGATGATTTTAGTTATATGATTTTGTGGTTGCAGGAGACCACGGGGACCCTTACATTCGCTGGTTCACTGCCATCTGAGAATCAGGCTGATTAAGAGAACAGTTTTCTTCCTGGGTTCAGGGCTTCCTGGGTAGAGGCCAGTATGCAAGAGATGAGAGTTTTGGGGAGGAAAACACGTTAATTCGGGAGCTGGCAACCTGGGGAGAGAGTGGAGTTTCTGCCCCACCGCGCCCCAAAGTGTCCTGCTCTCAGGCTGGTGATGGGGTGTCACAGTGCTAGTTGGGAATGTGTGTTGGCAGAAGGTTATGCTCAGGGGTCAGTGGGCGGAACACATCCGGTCAGCTTCAGGAACCTTTTTTTTTTTTTGTAGGAGTACTGCTATTTATGCAGCCACTGATTAGCTGATTGAATTGTGCATGAACTCCACCTTACTTTTTTTTTCATTTTTATAATTTTATTTATTGAATCACCGTGAGAGCAGTTACAAAGCTTTTGGGTTTAAGTCTCAGTCATACAATGAAACACCCATACCTTCACCAGTGTCCATTCTCCACCACCAAAAACCCCAGTGTACCCCCATCCCACACCCTCCCCCTGCCTGTGGGGCAGATGATTTCCACATTACTCTCTCTCTACTTTGATCACATTCACTATTTCGACACCAGACCCACCATTATTATTTGAGATTTTACCCCAACACTCAGATCTGCTGAAAAGGCAACAATAGACAATTTGTGCTCTATTGCTGGTTATGAATAACATATGATGTCGTGTGGCTGCAGTAGGGCCATGTGGTTTTGAAATTCTGAAATTTTAACACTTAAATCTGGAGGGATTTCTGCCAAAAGCTACTGGGTTTCGAGATCTGCTCCTGAGTCTCATGGCAACGGATCATGGCCGTTGAACAGCTTGATGAGGAGCCAGAGAGGCCGTTCGTGGGCGATGACTTGGGATCTTGTTGGGGTGGGGAGGACAGGCCTGTCTCCACCCCATCCCGTGAGGCCCAACAAGTTTTGTCCCTGCGGGCCCAAGCTGACTGTCCAGTGGCCTCTGGAGGATGACCGCCACCGAGCCGCCAGAAGGAAACAGGCAAGGGACAGCACCCATTCCCCCACTTGGGTGGCCTGGCGACAGTAACCTACTGCGGGGTCCGGACACATTTCTGCCAAAAGCCACTGGGTTTTCGTGATTTGTTTCTGAGTCTCTGGGATCAAGGCCATTGAGCAGCTTGACGAGGAGCCAGAGAGGCCGTTTGTGGGCAATAACTTGGGGTCTCGGGGTGGGGAGGACAGGCCCGGCTCCACCACCTCCCCATCCCGTGAGGCCCAACAAGTTTTGTAACTGCGGGCCCAAGCCTAACTGTCCAATGGCCTCTGGAGGATGACAGCCACCAAGTCGCCAAGAGGGAGCAGGCGGAGGGACAACACCCTTTCCTCCCTGGGGTGGCCTGGCGACAGTAACGTACTGTGGGGTCCAGACGCATTTCTGCCAAAAGCCACTGGGTTTTGAGATTTTTTTTCTGAGTCTCTGGGACCATGGCCATTAAGCAGCTTGATCAGGAGCCAGAGAGGCCATTCGTGGGCGATGACTTGGGGTCTCGTTGGGGTGGGGAGGACAAGCCCGGCTCCACCCCCATCCCGTGAGGCCCTGTGTGTCTTGTCACTGGGGGCCCAAATGTGACTATCCAGTGGCCTCAGAAGGATGGCGGTCACTGGGCCGCAAGGGGGAACAGGCCAAGGCACGAAACCTATTCCCACCTGGGTTGTCCCAGCACCGGTAGCCTACTGCAGAGACCAGACGCATTTCTGCCAAAAGCCGCTGGGTTTCAAGATTCGTTTCTGAGTCTCTGGGATCATGGCCGTTAAGCAGTTTGATCAGGAACCAGAGAGGCCATGCCTCCAATTATATAGCTGAGCCGGAGGTGGTTTGTGGGCGTGTTT